TTCAAACCCACCAGCCACTCCTCGGACGGAAGATGGGGCAATCTACTTCCGTAGTGATACTGCCTCGGAAACCCAAGGAGGGGTCACTATGAGTCGGGTCTGACTCGAGGGCACATAACAACAACAACAACAACATATATTCTTAGACTTGAGTTATGGTAGACTGCTTCACAGAGTAAAATGTTGTAAATAACCATACACAATTGTGATGTACAAATGTGCTGATGTAGGTGGGTGTTCTTTGTAAATCCTATTATGGTACACAACTGTTAGGTTTTGTTGTTGTTATGTGCCATCGAGTCAGCCCCGATTCTTAGCGACCCCTCCTTGGGCTGCTGAGGCAGTATCACTACTGAAGTAGATTGCCTAGCCTTCCTTCCGAGGAGTGGCTGGTGGGTTTGAACCGCCAGCCTCTGGTTAGCAGTCAAGTGCCTTAGGCACTATGCTCCTAGGTTTTAATGGCTTTATTATTCCTATAAGGCTGAAAACAGTTATTGGTAGCCTTCTCTCCCTGTATGTATACAAAACTTACTTTGTGAGTGTCTGCTATGCAACAAGCACCATTCCAAGCGTTAAGGCTGTTAAAAGAAGAGCAAAACTTGATTCCTCCCAGCAAGGACTTGAACAAGACATTTCATGGAGAGGAAATATAAATGGTTATTAAAAAATTGGAAGCAGCAGCCAAGAAATCAAATGACGTATTAAATTGGGCAAATGTGCAAAAGATCTCTTGAAAGTGTTAAGCAAAGATGTCACTTTCAAGAATAATGTGTGCCTTCTATGCATGTGAAAGCTGGACAATGAATAAGGAATACCAAAGAAGAACTGATGCCTTTGAATTAAGGTGTTGGTAAAGAATATTGAATATACCATAGACTAAGCACTTCACTGCTAACCAGAATGCTGGCTGTTCAAACCCACCATCCACTCCTCCGAAGGAAGATGGGGCAATCTACTTCTGTAGTGATACTGCCTCGGAAACCCAAGGAGGGGTCGCTATGAGTTGGGTCTGACTCCACGGCACATAACAACAACGACAACAACAGGGTCAGCGAAAAAGAAAAACCCTAAACCAGTTAGATTGACACAGTAACTGCAATAGTGTGCTAAAACATAGCAACAATGATGCTGATGGTTCAGGACCCGGCAGCGTTTCCTTCTGTTGTACTAGGGATTGCTGTGAGTCAGAACCAACTTGGCAACTCCTAACAACAATTAAAAAATTGAAGATAAACACAAAGTTTGATCTCACTTGTTTTTTTTTTTAAAAAGAAACAAACAACATATATCATTTTCACATATACAAGATTTTTAAAAAGTGATGATGTTTAATACTGGCAAATATGTAATTATACAGGGGCACTCATGCAGCTGGCAGCAGTGAAAATTAGTACAATAATAATATATAAAACTTTTAAAAGGTAAATAGCCAGAATTCCATTTTAAGAATCTATTACAAGAAAAGAATCATAACAGTGGATAAGATTTATAAAAATTACTATTGCAGTATTATTATTTATGATAGTGAAAGAATTGGAAGTAACTTAAATATCCAAACATAATTCACATAACTTGAAGAAATGTACCAAATTGGAATATTATACAGTTAAGCATTATATTTTTAAATTATTTTGGAACCAGTAAAATTCTTATACTGTTAACGTGTATATCACTCACTCACTCTCACTCACTTGCCATTGAGTCAGATCTACCTCATAATAACCTCTCCTTGGATTTCTGAGGCAGCATCACTATGGAAGCAGATTGCCCAATCTTCCTTCTGAGGAGTGGCTGGTGGGTTTGAACGACCAGCCTTCTGGTTAGCAGTTAAGTGCCTTAGGCACTATGCTACCAGAGTTCCTTAACATACATATGCGTATATAATTATATGTTTGATATGATTATAATTCTGGTAAATGATATGAACTGTGCTCCAGAGGAACTCATAGCCTAGAGGGAGATGGCAGGAAGTGGGAACTACAATTTTTTTACTTATCTTAAATAATGATTATGGAAAAAAAGGGCATCTTCTTATATATTAATACATGTTTATTATTATTTATATTACTGTAAAGCTCTCTCCCCAACATGCATGTACTCTGTTGATTCGACATCTGAACATAGCTGAGCTGATCATGCTCATTTTCATGGATTTAGCAATTGAATTCAGAGATTCTTAATCATCTTCTGAAGGAGGCTGGAACTATAGCAAGTAAGCTCAGAAGCTAGGGGCAATCATATTCTGCCAAGTGGGACAGAGAAGAGAGAGAGGGAGAATAGGATAGGAGATGGAGTGAGAATCCAGGAACAAAAAAAAAAAAAAAAAAAAAACCAAAAAGGCACTCAGCTTTTTTGACCCTTCTTGAGACCTGCCTAAGGTGACTATATGTTTACATTTTCTCCATTGTTGCTATTATTTG